TACTCGGATATATTGTAAGCCACATATGATTTGTTTAAAGTTTACATATGGAATATGAAGCGCAGGTTGCACATGACTTCGAAGAACTAATAATTTCTTTAATTGCTAACATATTTTATTACTTGATTTGATATAAACTAGATAGAAAATAAAATGTTTAGGATTAGCTGGCTATATGAGTTCGTTTGTAATAACAAATGTTTTATGAGAGTGTCAATAGTTTTTTATAAACGTCGCCTTGAAGACGTGTTTTAAAGTGAGTGCGGGAGCTTCTATAAAGATATAAATATTAATGTTAAAAATATAATTTATATATATTATTATAACTAATATTAACTACATTATTATTAATGTAAACATAAATAATAAAGTAATAAAGAATAAAGATGAATGTAAATGATAATGAAATAATATATTATATATAATAATTTCAAGTTCTCCGACTTTTTATATGAAAAATAAATTTACTATAATATATTGTGTTAGGATTTGTGTGATTTCTTATAAATATTTATTATATATCTGAATAATAAAATATTACTTCTAAACAAACTACAACCTCTGACATTAAAACAATAAAATAAATTATAATAAACTAAAATGTTTTAATATTACATATATAACATTAAAAATTATTACATTAATAATAAACTATATATAAAAATCTGTTATATGAACATGTGTTATATATGTTATAAGTTTCTAATTTATAAAAAAATCTGAATAGATTACCATATGTTGTTCAATGAGTTCGTGGAAAGTCTGAAACCAAAACCTATAAATTTTGCGAACATTTTTAAAATTGATGGATAGTCTGCAAGGCTTGTACGACCACTTTTAAAGAAACTACACCACTTACAAACTATTAGTTTTGGAAGAGTAGATTCACACACTATCTTAACCATTTCAAAATGAACTTCTATTCTCTAGAAATCAGTTTCTACAAAAAATTTATTCATCGCTTGATGTCAAATTTTTTCCATTATTAAATATAAATACATTGATATGTCAGCTTTGATGGACTGAAATATTACTAATATTCTTTTATTATGCATAACAAACTTGCTTTGAAATTTTAGTTCTATTCTTGAAGATTAGATGGCGCTTTGCGAACTTATTGAGCAATGAGTGAATTTTATTTAATACATATATTTTACATAAATAAATATGTATTTGTGCATTATATATATATAATAAATTTAAAAGAAAAAATCTTTTACTAAACGCATCGAACTATTATTTCCAATTATTTACAAATATTTAAACGATTTCCATAAGCATTCGTACTGACGCAGCTCTTTTGTGTAAAGTGGTTAAGAGGGATACGCCTTTCAAAATAAAATGGAACGTAAATATGTGTAAGTATAAAAAAAATGTAATAGTTTTTAATTTAATATAATATGTTAAATAAAAAAACCATGTATGAATATATACATAAGAAACTTGATTATTTGTTAATAACACTCTGAATCCTAATGTTCCCAAGATAGTACCTTAATAACTCAATAAAATTATGAAGTTTAATTTATGTGATAGTTTTAAATCCATAAAAAATATTTTAAAAACTATAATATCAATGGGGTTTTCAGAAAATAATCCAAAATTTTCTTAAAAAAGTACGATTTGCGTCAACGTAATTTTTGAAAAAACTTCCAATTTAAAAGAAAAATAATTTAAAGTTATTAAATAAAGTAAATAATGATGTATGATTAAACCTATATATTTAAGTCGTATTTAGATAAGATATAGAGGATTTTCTTTGACTCCCAATTTCCTAGTTTGTATTAAAAATAAACGCCTCGCCAACTTTCGTACGATTTTTTAGGAATCAGAACCAAGGAATCAGAACCTAAGAAACCAAGCAACTTTGATATTGAATCCTGTACACATATTTCATATAAAAATAAAATTAATTTTTTTTGGTTTTCTTTTGTGAATATAGCGTAGGTCAATACTTGGAAGAAGAAATGGAAGCTGCAATGACACTTGCTTCACTAAGCGAAAGAGTATATTTGTTTGATCAACCCGTGGATCAAGTATTACCAATTGATTACTCAATGCCAAAGTGCAAAAAGCGAAGAAAGAGGAAGAATAAACGAAAAAACATTAGTTTCACCGAAAATCTACCAACAGTTATAGTTAAAGAAGAAGAAGAAGAAATTGTAATTAAGGAAGAATCGGAATCTCTATTAAATCCGGAACCAGAGTTTATAATTAAGGAGGAACCTGAATTTTTATTGAAAGAGGAAACTGAGGTTATGGAGGATTTGTTTCTTGAACCTGATCCAGAACTGGATCCTGAACCTGAAACTGAATTTGAACCTGAATTTGAACCTGAACCTCAGGATATGGAAGATTTGCTTCCTTATATTGAAATAAAAAATGAGCCAATCGAAGAGGAGGAAACAGAAACCGAATATATAGAGTTAGACATTGGTTGGGAAGAGACAGTAGTTACCACTCCTGAGCAAGATCAACTACTATAAAATCTCAAGAATTTTTTATTTTTATTCAAATAATGTAGTGAAGCTTAATAAATAATTTAACACAGCTAAGTATACATTTTTTTCTATTCATATATTTCACTAACTAATGCCATTAAATATATATTGTATAACGAGATTAACAAGAGAAAGAGAGAGAGAAAACTGTTTATCAGAACCCTCGAATTAGTGAAAAAAAGTAACTAAATGTTTAACTTACTATTAAATTTAAAAAACAACGTACTAGTCAGCACCAAATTTGGTCGATTTTCATTAGAGATGCTAGCGGATCCATTGTTTTTGCCGAATTCGATCCCATATTTTTAATTTCTATAAACAGGTGTTAATTTAAAAAACAGGATATTCTTAAAATATCCTGAATAGATGTTTTAATCAAATGAAATGCACAACACATGGAAGAGTCCGTTAGAATCGAAATACCCTTATAGCAACTTTATAGATCTTCATAATAAATTGTGATAAAAATATATTTTAAAATAAGTACAAATTTTAACTTCTTTAAATTTACAACTAAATTAACAAAGACCACAGGTAAATATACTGCTCATTCATTTAATTATAATTTTCTAAATTAATACTTCATTATAGTTGTCGTTACAGTAATGAAGAGCGTTTTGCAGAAATAGGTAGGTTTCTATTATTGTTGTTGTTTATAATTTATACTTTTAAAATTCTATATTTTTTTCGATTTCAAATTTTTAAATTTTTTATCAAAGTCTTCCTACATTTCTCGCAGTGATAATCCTTTCAATAATTCAATTGCTTTAACATTCACATTTCAATCTTATAGACGTGCTTTAAGAAATGCCCTAGAGGACTTATTTAATTTGAAACCTTGGACGGACAGACGGAAAATATTTTATATCATATTATTTAAACATATGATTTATAGATATATATTATCTATATATATATATTATATTATTTCATATTATTTTAAATTAATATAAAATCTTAATATGAGTATTAAAGCTCTACATAACTTTTGTTTATATAAAACTATAATAGGTATATTGTTATACACTACATTATAAGTATCACTTCTAGGCATAAAAAATTAAGAATTAAAGTGAAGAACCGGTACCAGTCTCTTATGAAGGAATAAATCAAATGGAATACAAGTATAATAATACATTCAAAATGAAGCCATTGAAGGAATCGGAGAACTGTATATATAAAGGCTACTACCAGCCACGAAACATTTAACCTACCGTACTTTAGTTCGTTTTGAACTTACCTTATATGTTTCTAAACCTAGGTTCCAATGAAGCTCATATACATATATCATTTATTATTAAAGTAATTATCGCTTTAAACTCATAGCGAAAATAATATAATAAAAATATATAATATTATTATATATTATTAAAATAATAATAAAAAATAAATAATATAAAATAATAAAGTGATATAATAATATAATGCTATATTATATATACATATATATATATATCTCAGTTGATTTAGAATTCAAAAATAATTGAGAAACACTCCCACATTCATGATTTTTGTACGGATTATTTTTTAAGTATTTGCACATCGTTGCATTATTATCTTTAGAATATTTCCAAATAATTATTTTGCAATCAATTTTTTATGTTTTCCAACCAAAGATTTGAAATTTGAACTTCGAATTAAAAATTTCTACGTATATGGTTGTGATTATGCATACAAGTCTGAAACTCAGACCAATATCCATCATATTGTTACCGTACTTTTAACAATCATAATAAATTACATCAAAAAGAATTCAGTACTCTAAGATATATGGTCGAGAACATTCGCACGAGAACATTCACTATCGGAACCACAAAATGTATACCCCTCTGCTAATTAGTACCATGTTTACATAAGTTGTGAAAAAGAATTAATGAAGCAAACACTACAGATAAAAATTGCACAAAACCAAGCTCTGAGAAGACTTTTCAAGGTACATTGGTATATTAGAACGAATGACATCCTCAGGGACCTCAAGATTGAATCGATCAAAAAATACATACAGGATAGAGCCCTGAAATTATTTACGAAAACTAACAGGCTTACCAAAACCGCGTTATCGAATCTCAGAATGGTCTGATGAAGTGCTAAACAATAATCCAGTCAAGGCGTAGAGAGAGGTTATGTAGAAACCTCGCAGTTAATAGAAAGTGAATGTGCTGAAGTGCACTGACTCAATTACTCTCAACATAATATATTAGGTTAGATTAAGTTATACCGGCGATTCTAAGAATCTACTTAGGCCTACTTGCGCAATATAATACTGTTTGGAAAACTCAGTGGTTTAGGAATTACCTTTAACTTTTGACAAAGCTTGGTTTTTATAGTAATATATATTAATAACTTTTTAAAATGGCAATTAGGAACATTATATATTTTGTTTATTTTATGCATGTTAATATATATAGTATGTTAATTTTATATATATATATATTCAACTTTAATTCTTAATTCTTGACTATGCTACTAATTAATTAGCATAGCAGAATATGTACTCACTTAAGGCTTGCAACTCTTTCAGCAATGAATTGTATAGTCTTGTTTCCTTTTTAAAAATAGCCTCCTTAGCAGGTTCATTATTCTCCAGTGGCAATGATTTAATAAACAGTACCAGTTGGTGATCATTGGACTATAATATTTAAAAATATAAAAGATTATTAGTACAACATTTCAGCCTAAAAGTATGCCATCTCGTTCTCAAAACATACATTGTCTTGCTTATCTACCACAGCATAGTTGAGTACGAGTCGTTTATATTCACCCAAAAAGCCAACAGCCTCGGTCGCATTGATCACTTCAAAACCCTTTAATTTCAGCAATGAACCAGTGTTGGTGGTAACGGCTTTCAGCAGTATAAGTTCACATTCTGCGTGCGTTAGTAGAGATCCACTGGGAGACGTTTTATGTACATCGTCCGACATAATTTTCACGCCGTGTTGTTCTATTTTTGCAAAGAATACCAATTGTTGGCTGCTTTCCAATAATCTTCTCTATTTTATTCTCTATTCTCTAGACTGAGAAAAATCCGCCTTACACGTATGCGTTTCCCCAAACAAAATTTGTTGCACTGCTGCGAATTAAAGTATTTTATCTTTTCTATAGTCACAGAAAAAAATTCTGTTCCGATATTTGTACTTATTTTTATCTTTATTTACTTATTTCATTCTCAGATGTTTTTCGTTTTTATGTAATCATTTAATTTAATTATCAGCTTACTTGCAACGGTGCAATTGCATTTATAATTGCGAAAAAAATGACAATGTGTTTCTGAGATATCAAATTTCCAGTGGATTTGCGGTAAATTACGTTTTCTAATTATTCACTTTAATTTAAATATTTTAAAGCTCATTTTACTTTTTTACTTATGTAGAAAGTGCCAACTTATATAAAGATCAAGGAATGCTATTTTAAATTGTATCTGAACAGAATTGTATCTTATAAAATTTGTGTCTTCGTATTGTTCAGTTCGTTTGTAGCTCTTGACGCAATCGATGCTTCTCGAATAGCATTGTGCCGTATGGTCGGATGGTGATATAGTACACAATCTCCACGAAGCTAAGCAAGCTGGCACCGACAAATAGGCCCGTTGTGCCACCAATAGACACTGCAAAAAATCAAAGTAGTTTTGATACAATTTGTTATTGTTTTAAATATTAATTCATATGTAGAGTACATTTCAAATTTTAATTAACGTTAACAACATTTTTTGAAACATTTTTATACGTTTATTAGCATAGATTTTTCTAACACAACTTTTAAACTACTTAACAAAAGCTTAAAGATAAGATTCATAACAAAAATTAACATTAATTAACTTAATAATTATATTAAAAATATTTTTGTTTTTAATTTTTTTCTTCATTCCATTTACTTAAATAAATTCGCCTCAAAAATGTGCCAAATCTTTACCGAAAACTTCTTTTTCGTTAAGTTAAAAAGTTCAAATTAACTATTATTATCAAAATAAACAGTCACACACACGCAACCTTATCCGAATAGATATTCAGTACCGATATCTCTCACCCGACTAAGCGATCGCATCAAGAAATTGCAAAACCTCTACCTACACAATCTTATTCGATAAGCGAAAAAACCTCAGATAAACTACTGAATAATAATAATAATAGTTCAATGAGGCACTTTAGTGCCACTTTGCATTCAGTTTATCTTTGCATATGAATGTTATGGTTTCACTAATTAAAACTGTAGCTGAAATATATTTTTAATATATACTGCTCAGAATATATAGTCCTAATATTTTTAAAAATGAGGAACTTTGTATAAAATAAAATTAAAAATAATATATCAAATAGAAGCTACTATATTGTTTTTTTTTTTTGCATTATTTTCAATATAATTATTGAATTCATTTAACTTAAGAAATTATTTCTTTCACTTACCGACCAAATCCAATTTGCCACGCACTACATTGCGTTTATAACGCTCCGTTGGTAATTCGATAAGTGAAATTTCTATTTTAGATATGGGATTCTGATGACCGTATATACTTTAAGGGTAGTAAAGAATGTAAAAATCTTTAATTTTACTCTACTATAGCCTAAAATGTTCACACTCACTTCTCTTTACTATCATGCACCGTGGATATATCAACTTCGGTGCATGACGGTAAGCAATCACACACCAATCCTTTCCGTCCTCGAGACCATTTTGCTATTATAACAGACAGATCTTCATAGTTACGATTAAGACATTCCAGACCATCCATATTGCAAAGCTGCCAATCTGGTGTATTTGGTGTCAAATGACTAGAGCAATTGCACAACTCCATTTGTCGATCTTTACGGCATTGTACAGTGCAGGCGCTATAGCTGTAATAACGATGAACATCCAATGTATTCTCATCACTGAATCTACAATTTCGTTGTGCTACGCTTGTATCACGAATTTGATCATCGTTTTGAATATCACGTTTTGCTATATGACGCCTAATAGAATTTTGTTAAGTTTTTTCAGTACAAAGATTATTTTATTAATAACTTACACAAATGACACATATGGACCCACTATCAAATAATCGGTTTTAGGTGTTACCAATGTTGGCACTTCTTCTTCACCAAGTATAAAGACCTTAAAAGTATATATAGTATATAATAATAATATATAAATTTTTTACTTTAATAATATATATATATATATAAATACGACATCGATAAAATGATGTCACAAGATCTATTAATATCTGTCAATATATCTTAACTAGTTATAATGCTAATGCTTTAGTGTCGATTTGAAATAAATATTAAAAATTTGGTAAGTAAAGCAATGTTTTTTCAATCGCACTTGCGAAAATAAGAAGTAATCAGTTTTTTTATATCTTATCTTTTAAGAAGGATTTTATTATGCACAGAGCATGACTTCATCTCTGCATTCAGGAGATGAATTTACGTTGCGTTTAAGAATATTTCAATTAATTAAAGTCAACTGAAGTAACTACATACACAACAGGAATAAAAAGTTTCACGATTCGACTCAAGTTTAATGCAAAAATCTCTTCAATTAAAAAAATGTTCATATAAGAAGTAAACAAAGTCCAAGTGCATTCCATCAACCACCGATGCGACCTAAAAAATTCATTGGTTGTTGATTTAGGATTGAACGAGATTTGGATCCATGTTATATTGTCAGATGAATTAACAAGGTAATAACTCAAGTGCTTATTGACTATATAATAAATACTATATACTATATGCTTCTATAAACTATATAATTTCGCAGTGGAGAGGCTTCCTAGATCATGTGATCTATTACTGGAAATCATTGGTCTACATGGACAAATCAATAATCATTCCGGCTTTGGAAACAAAATCGCAAGTGCGCCAATAGAGTCGTCAATATTTGAAAAAGTTATAGAAAACTTGAATTTTAAAGATGAAGCATTCTCTCGACTATTAAGGATAGATTCAAAATTAAGATTAATAGTTTCTATGAAGCTTGAGTTGAATATATTAATAAAATAAGCTATTATCAATGTAAACAAGTAACAACATCCTCCAACAATTTCAATACTAACAGTTGCTTCAGTTAATAACTCCATTTGTAGCGATCCTGCTCCCGTATACCTATTCGAATACATATTAAGTTTCGGACCCTTATTTAACCTAAAATTATTACAAATTTTAGTAATTAAAAAATAATTTTTAAGATTAACAAAAAATGTATTAAAACCTTACCCAGCCTGTAGGGAGTTAATTGCATAGCAGATACCCAATTCCGTTTCCATACGTCGAAAATATTTGCAACAATCAAAAGATTTACCATTCCACAGGCAGTTTTGTATGGAATCTGGACAACTGCTGCGTACCAACTGAGCATAATAGGAAAAATTGGAATAAAAGCAATTCTCTGCTGGTTCTTCACCACCACATTCATGTACAGTGTGATAAGATTCACCACGAAAAAATGCTATCTCGCTCAAGACCTCTTCAAGTGTAAAATCATGATCGGCACCCCAAAGTCTATTGGATATAATAATTAATGTGATTTATTCATATTGAAATATTTTAATTTCTTTTAGAATTTTACAAATATATACCATTAGGATGGGAAGGGACAAATTTTCATTCCTTTAAAGTATATAGTTTAACACGATTCCATATAGTTTAACACGATTCCATTTTTCATTGTGAGTAAAAGTTACCACGAAACTATATGGTTTAACCACTATTTAGGATATATTATCGGTGTAATTGGGTTAGGTTTTTTAAATTAAAATTAATGACCCATAGTCGATGCAATCTATTTTATAAAATGCGTATACACAAAATTCACTTTAGACATGTAGTTTGTTGGTAAGTTTTACTTCCAATGGTCCATAGAATCGTATCTAATTACACATTTTTATTGAAATTTTTCTTTAGTAACATATCGACCCACTCTAATATATATATATATATATATATATGTGTACATACAAATTTATATTTGTATTCTTATTTTATTTATTGCTATTTTAAATCACATCGTTTAATTTTATAACTCACTGTTCTGCAACTTCTTGTATACGATCCATATTTTTTGATTCACAAACCACAATAGCTGGAAAATTAGTGTCCCAATCACGATATGATGACTCAACCACGAAACTGATAGCATTGTTTTCGAAAGCCTCTATAGAAAATTGATGAGAATAAATAATGAATCAGATTGTTTTAATATAATAATGTATTTGATATTGCAAGTAATAAGCTAGAGTTTACTTTTTTTTAGAGAAAATAAAGAAAAAAAAACAAACAGATCTTCCATGAAGCAAGCATATTGTCTTATATAGCTTATATTAATTTTATGTAACATAAATATTAAAAAACTTTTTTTTAATATATTTCAGTATTATAATATTTTATAATATTTTTGCAATTTTAATGAGATTTTTTTCAAAAGATAAATTTTAAGTAATAGTATTAAACATAAATTTTTTTATTATGTACTTAAACACCTTCCACATAAACTATTGCATGTAATACAACTCACCCAATGAGGCTTTTATTAACTGCCAAGAAGCAAACCAAGAAGCCACTAGACAAAATATCCAAAATAGACGTTCCAACCACGAAGCATCTTTGTCTACAATAAATTTAGCTCCATGCAAAGTTGAGTTCTGCAAATACTCTCCAACAACATCTCTTAAGCGCAACATCCGATTAGATTTAAATATACCAAATAAATACTAAGTAAAGTCAAATTTTAACAGAACTGAAAGCAACTAAAGTCTGTCAGTACTTGAACTCAAATGACAAAATTTGTCATTTCAATCTATGGAAAGGTCATATGTAAGGATAATTATCATTTTAATCTCTAATCTAAGTTCATGAAGGTAATATGCGTAAACTACAACTGCTAGTATTCACACAATTATATTATATTTGTGCTTAAAGCGCTTAATTTTGAGGGGACTTAATAATGTTTAGTATCCTTCAATATATTGTGCTAAATTTCCAAGCATGGACATTGATTTATTATTAATTATTTTATTTTTTATAAAAAAATTATTTAGGCACATTTAACAAAACCAAACATTTAATTTTAAATTTATTATTAATTAAAAAGAAATACAAATATACTCAATGTTGTGTTTCAGAGGGTATGAGTGGTTGATTCTCTTCCTCCCTTTGACAATATAATATATAAGACAACTCTTACTCTTTCTAGACCACCCTTTTTCTCTACCCGTACCACTGGGCACAATTCTGCCTAAGCTATGTGTCATTCTTTTACAAACCGAACGAATTTTGGCAAAAAATGACCTCATGATCTCCGATTTGACTGAAATGAGCTCCTTTCATAAAATAAGAAGACCCGTATCTCGGGAAAAAATGTTGTGATTTTTTTCCAAGGAGATATGAACCCATGGGATTTTGAGAATTGACATAGTAGACACATTTTCAAATGGCTATATCTCAAGTTCTATAAAAGGTAGAAACTTGAAATTTACAGCGTTTCAAAGATAATTGATTGAACTTTTATGAAATTGTTTTTAAAATTGAAATTGTTTATATTTAAGTACTAATATTAACCGTTAAATTTCAAAAAAATAATTTTCTCAAAACTCATACCTAAATTTTCATTAATTTCATGGTACTACGGTGCGTATGAGTAGCGTGAAGGACACCTGATTAATAAATTTTTTGTAATTACTTCTGAAGGGTATATCACAGTGGAAATATTTATTTTTTAAGTAGAATTTATATATTAAATTGAATCAAATATAAAAAAAGAATTTGTGTGGCATATTCCTTTTTTTTTTACTGAAAAATCGTGTGTATGTGTTTGGTGTGATATGAAGGATAAATAAATTTTTAAAAGTACGTCCTGAAATTTTTGGGTTTTATGTAGACTTTTATTATTAATCGATATCAAAAATATTATATAAGAATATTTGTGGCATATTTATTGAAAATTCTTTCAAAAAAAATTAATTTCTTTATAGATTTTTAATATCAAATATTTTGTTTATATTAACTATTAGTTGTTTTTATATTATTTAGCAACCATTTTTTATATATACTTTTTTCACATTTGAAGTGACATTCGCTTACCTATATACTTGAGTAATTACTTGAATATGATATGTGTAAATAATTATAAACGAACTGTTTATGATCTGCAATTAAATTGTATTTAGTATTAAAAATTCAGAACGAAGCACGCTCGATTATGAAATGAATGAATGCACAAAACTTTCCCAATAGTCTTCAAATATACTCGTACTTTATCTTTCCCACACTAATTCTATTACCAAATATAAAAAAGATTTATAGTCTCTAAGATCAGCATCACTTTATGGATTTATTTAATATAAATTATTTTTGTGCTATTTTTTTTTTAATTTGAGTAAATAATGGAAAAAAATGGGTAATAAAAGCAAATAAACACTCGAAACCGTCTAATACGCTTTTGCAATAATGATTTCCTAAAGATTTCTCCAAATATTTCTTTACATTAACTACAAAATTATAATCGATGTAAAAAAAATATTTAAAAAGTTTTTGGCATTTTTTATATATAATAATAAGTGTAGAAAGCGATCGGAGAGATCCGGTCTTGACTTAATCAACAACTAACACAGCTGTACTTGATTTTTACTGACTTTTTAAAAACATTTGTTTAGCTCAATCATAAACACATATACTTGGACAGTATAATGGGCGATCACGAATAAATCATAAAAATTGCCAATTCATGTCAAGCCATTCTATTTCCAATCAACAAGCCCAAAGTGGGATAAAGAAATCACGCCCTGGATTTGGTATCAACTGTTATCACAATTCCCGTTAAGTTAGTCAGAGATAACTTGAGACACGGACATGGAATTTATATATAATACCACCAAAAACACATTGTTAAACATCTAAGGAATCAAAATATAAGAACATCGAATAACATTGAATAACTGGCACACACATAACGACATACACTATCATTATGTGAATGCTTGAGTTATACTAGAAATTTACTAAAAACATTATACAAAAATTATTGATCGCTATAATCGTTATTCAACTATATCTCTTATATTATTACCCATAATTAATAATATATCCTTTTTTTAATCTACATAGTTTTTAACCAATGCAATCATATTTTTGATTATACAAACGTCTTTTGTGACATTAACGACAAAAATCCTACTATTCAACTCATCATTTTACACCCCGGCTTTGGGTCACATCAATTAATAAAGTCATTTAGTTTTATAGCTTGAGAATCAGTGAACCAGTGGTTCAGTATGTCGTTTTTTGAAGGCCAAGCCGTTAAAATAATTCTTGATTTATATCAATCCAACTAAAGGTTACTCCAGTTCTGAACCGAAACTGCTTACAACCCTGTATTATATATTTATCTGTACTATATCGGTTATAGATCTATAAAATTAAGTTTTTAAAGATAAGTTTGAGAGTATTTATGCTGAACAATAGTATCATGTTATTTCTCATTATCTCAATTACATTTAATATAGATTAATTATAATTAATTGTATGTTATTACTAATAAAGAAATTATTATCGCTATTAAGACTTAAAATGTTGAGTTATGTTAATAATCAAATGCATTATTTTATAAATTTTGATTCTAAATATTAAATCAGTTATCTCTAGTTTATGCTCTTACTTCATGATGAAATTGTAGATTCTTGCATCTGTATTAACACTTATATATATATTCTTTTGACTTTATTTTATTTTAAATAGTTTACAAATTTATAGTTTTATTGTAATAATAAATTTTAACACCTAGCAAGTTCAAGTACTTTAACGACGAATAAGAGAAGATACATATCACAAGTTTAAGTTTATCATTATGGGAATACGTATAAACTTTATCAGAGCAAATAAAACTCAAACGTCATGCGTGGAGCTATTTCAGAAAGAGTCGGTATTTTCAATATAATAAATTTATTTTTTAATACGAATTATAATAAAGCAAGCAAACTGAAATAATCGTTTATTAATTGGATCACATATTTTTATGCTCTCTGAAATCATATATTTAGTATTAACCTTTTAAGGAATACTTTCAATGATAGATGGGAGAGGTTTTCTATATAATAAAGTATTTTAACTGTTTTACTTTCTATGTTAAACCTTATAACTGTAACGCTTAGTTTTTATTATATACCTTTCAGGGTATAATCAATTTATATTTTTTTAAAGGTTAACAAATGAAAGTAAAGGTATTGAAATGAGAATATACAAACCGATCAAAAACATAGACAAAAAGAGTACAGAGTTTTTATAATAAAAGTATAATATTAACATAGTTTATAAATAATTATTTTTAAATATAAAGAAGAACAATTTATTAGTTTAATAAAAATTTGTCGGATCATCCTTTATCCCTCCTTCAATACTCAATTTATAGTTACAATAAATATTTATATATACACACATATATATATATTATGTAATAATAATATATAATATATATATATATTTATATGGAGAGCATATATAAATAATATATACTATATAATATATGATATATAATATATAATACATGTGTATATATATTATGTATTTCTTATAAATATATACATATCTCACGTATCGTGTTTATACACAAGGGGACTTTATTCTGAAATGCTAGGTTAAGTGAGGATCCACTTAGGCCTATTGGCCCATTGTCTTACCGTATATAGAAAACTATAAAAAAACTTAGGGTTTAAAACCACCTAAAATCTTTGGCGAAGTTTAAAATGCTCTTTAGTGTCAGGTCTTGTAAATGATCAAGATCCTCTAGAAAGAGACGAATCAACTAAATCCTCACGAATGAACAGGATTTTAAAATAAATTATTGAAAATATTTATTCTGAATTATATATTATATATGCAATAAAATGTGAAGTTTATGAATGCCTTGTATTGCTCTAATGAGCAATAAAAAATCTTAATTTAGAAATTACGTAAGTGTGCAATGGGCCCAAATCAACATTGGAATCACTAATAGAAAGATCTGTAAAATATTTAAAAATAAAAAGAAAGGCAACCTTAAAGCACAAACTCTTCCTAAAAACCAAGCAAGTCTAAAGCTGTAGTATACCTATGAAAAGATATTAAACATGGTAAAATTCGAATTGAAATTAATTTTTAAATTTTCCTAGTTCCATTAAAATTTTAAGAATTAATTATTAATTATTTTTCTACTAACAATTCCTCTACCGAAAACGTAGTAATTTTCAAATTTACCAATCACTCTCAAATTGTACATTTCAATTCACAGCAATTAATCCTTTTTTAGGATCCTTTCCTTGGGACTAAAAATTTATTTAATATTTGTGAGCGGAAGCTGTAGTACTTAACAGTTGAAAATGTAAGTAAAGATTATATTCTATAAAATTATTTTATTATTAATTTTACTTTTTGATTTATATATGTTTAACTACTACTTGGAGAATTACTTCAGTGATTACTTCTAAATTTGCTGGTAAATACATTACATTATTAAAATAATAATTTATTAAACAATTTAAAAATAATTGCTTCATAATATTATATTATCAATTATAAAATAGCATATTTTATATAAAACATGTTTCCATCAACTTTTGCTTTATTCCGATCAGAAAGCAATTAATATCTATATACTAGTACATTAATGTGCACACGGCGGATTAGTTTGTAACTTCCAGAGGCTTGGAATGAAATTAATGTGCTTACAATCTAAGCCCGGATGAATGATTAGATATAAACTGTAAACTTATGAACTATTGGTTCTGCAAGTGGAGAAAACTTTGAAATGAAAGATCGAATACTTCTATTTATTTACAGATAGATACTGTTACTCAGTAGAACTGTCATTTGTATTTAAAATATATTTTAAAGGCCATTATGCTTATTATATAGGTACATTTGGACTAATTCTTCCTTAGAAAATTTTTAAAATCGGAATCTGGGGTACCATTTCCAGTTAGGGGTCACTTTTATTGCAATTTTCATTTTTGATTGGCAAATCTCAAGCAAAATATATAACACTCAGTTAATTAATGGCACTATATATATTTTGCCAAAGCACTTAAAAATTATCCTGAAATTAACAGCTGAAATTAACAGCTGTCATATATAGACTTGGCAGATAAAATGTATTTTAACTCGATGTATGTACTTACGAAACATATAAAAGTCTACTAACACAACTACGTAAATGTAAGATTACTCTAAAAGCGTCCAATTAAATCTAGAGTAGAATTAGAGTAAATCTAGATTGAGATTGCTATATGTAACTGTCATCTGTTTTATGTCAAATTTTTCTATAACATTTTAATATATAAAACCTTTCTAATCTACTTAACTGTATTGGCTTTAATATTTAATGGACAGATTTAATATTCCTCGCTTAAATCATTTGTTTTTGCTGTTGCTCTGTCGTTTTCGTATAAGATATATGACGATTCGTTTATGCCGACAGTACAAACCAATATATCTATTACAACGGCGGTAAATATAAATATTATAAAATGAAACAAAGTGCGCAAAAATATTTTAAAATAATTTTAAGAACATTCAAAAATTTATTTGTACGAAAAGTAACTCCAAACTGACAACAACCTCGAGAAAAAACCAAAAAAAAAAGATCGCTGCAGAATTTCAATAAAAAAAAAGAAGCAAAATAAGAACTTTTCCGGTGTCGAGAGTTTAAATATAGCAAATCAAGTCCCACAAACTCAATCACTTCAAGATGCTGGCAACGAATGAGTTCAGCACGAATGATGTGCAAAATCTGTGCCAGCGCTATTTTGGGGAGAGTCAACAAACCAATGGGCATAAGAAAGATCAAAACACAGAGGTACGTGTGCTCAGCTATGACTTGAAGCCAACTTCAGATGCACCGGCAGGTTTTCTTGGCGTCCATCAATTTCTCAATGTCGAGTTCCTAACAGTAGACGATGCCGGATGTGAAAAATTGCAGAAGGTATGTTTCTTCATGAAATCAGCAGCACAGGACAATGAATCTCGACTGGAGTATCTGGAGAATTTCGGAGTTTTTAAGAAGGAAATTCATGTATACCGTGAAGTATTGCCTAGATTAACGCCAATATTTGGTGCTGTAGCACCAAAATCCTACTATGCAAATAATAATGTGTTGATATTCGAAGATCTGTGTGGGCAGGGCTACAAAATGGGAGCGGAGCGTAGTGGTTTATTGGACCATGAACACTTGAGTTGCGCACTTCGATGTTTAGCGACAATGCATGCAGCTTCTATAGTGCATGAAGTGAAAATGTCTGGCACAAAATTGAATGCAATTTATCCAAATGCTGTGGTTGAAAATTCCTATCCATTGCATATTGCAGAAAATCATGTGCGCTCACAGAATTTCCATCAGGCAAATAAAGTTTTTAAAGAAATTATTAAATTGCTACCAAAATATCAGAAACAGTTGGATTTCATTTTAGTAAATTTTACTGAAAGAATGGAGGTTATATTCACCTTATCAAAGACGTCTGAAAAGTACCAGAATGTATTTTCACATGGTGATCTTTGGGCAAACAATTGTATGTTTAAGTATGGCAAATATGGCAATATACCGATAGATTGTCGCTTTGTTGACTTTCAACTGGCACGTTATGCACCGCCGTTAATAGACGTCATAACTTTGTTGACCATACCGAGTAGTCGAGATTTTCGTGAAAAATACTTCACAGAACTTCTCAATCATTATTATCATCTAATGACTGAGTTTCTTCTGCGTGCCGGTTTGGATATTAAAGACTATATCCCGAGATCAGATTATGAGAAACAAGTAGCAGAATATCGCATATACGGCTTGATTGAAAGCTGCCTTTTCTCACATCTAACAATTTTACCACCGAAATTGACACAGCACTTGACCGGAACAACAGACGGATTCAGTGATTTCTTTGAACGCAAACGCGTTGAGTTATGCTTAGAGGCTTTTCGGACAGATCAAATATATCGTGAGCGTTTAACTGATATGCTCGAAGATTTCGTCGATAATTTTGTTTTAAAATCAAATTATATAAATTTATAAATACTTGAGATTACTTTTTAAATATTATAAAATTAATAAAAAGATATTTTAAAAAATACAATATTTTATTTAATACAAAAAGGAAAAAATTAATATTTCCCTTATAGGCAACTATAATTATATACTGTAGGGCAAGATTAATTATCTGCAACAGTAGCGGAGCCTGGAAGCAGGGCACACCGATGGAAGTCTTAAATGACTAATAGGGACCCTACCTCGAAGTAATACTAACGTAGTCCCGGGATAGAACAAGGTCTCTAGGAATGAGGGGGAGTGGTTTAGCCCGTGCGAGTCGGGCACTCACCACCGGAAGGTGGTCAGTGCGTAGGCATTCCACTCCTCCTTCCATTCCAAAAAAAAAAAAAAAAAAAAAAAACTATAATTATATAGAATTTCAATTCAGAAACATACAAAAAAAATTAACATCAATGTATTAAAAAATTATTTCAATTAAAAATTAAAAATTTAAATTCGTATTAATACATATTTATTTCATATATAATAATTTGATGGTAATTTAATATAAACTTAAATAATTTTAATTAAATTAATTAACTATATACTTCGTAAAAATATAAAAGTTTTCATTTCAAATAATTAATTTTTAATTTTTAATTAATTATATTTTATATATTTATATGATATACGCACATCTTTGACTATATAATTATTATATAGGCATAATAATTATTATATTAAATAAAAATAAATTTTATTTTCACTGGGCCTTAAATTTTGTGCTAGTAATACTTACTAATTTTTGTTAAAGCTTTTATTATATTTTAAAAATATTTAATTTACAATATACAAATATTTAAATAAAAATATTTTATCTTAAGTGTATAATTGATTGAAATATGGGTGGAAAAATTATAATTATCAAAATTTTTTAAAATTTTTGATAAATTTTGATGTATTTTTCTCTTAATATATATATTATTTATTATATTCACGGTTGCCACTTATGGTACTTTAGTACCAAAATTGGTACTTTTTCTTTTTTTTTTCGTTTGGTACTTACGTTCAAAAAATGGTACATTTTTGACGACCCAACTTTATTGTGGATATTTCCAATTAATTTTTTTTATAAATGCAACTTTGCACTATTTTATATTTTGTTCATTTATAACACTATGAAAAACACAGAACGAGAAAACAAAAAGGTCCAATTTTGGACCTTTTTTTACAGAAATGGTACCTTTTTAAACCTTTTTAAATTTTGGTACAGAAAAAAATTTTCAAGTGGAAACCGTGATTATATTTTCGATTATTTACAAATCAAACAAAAAAGTAATAGAGCGATTACCAAATTTTATAGTAAGGTTTGTTCCTGATGTCTTCCTTTTCTAACATAATGATCATAACTTTCTTATACATTTGATATGAAATTCTCCCTTGTTCATCGCTGCTTGATCTGAAATTTTAAATCTTTATCTTTCTATGATTATTTTAAACGATAACAATCTATTTTTCTAAGGATCTTCTTCTTCCGATCTTGCACAGTTTTTTAACTTGGCATTAAAGTTATCTAAAAATTAGAACAGATGCACACAGAACTGATAAGGGGTAAACCTTTTCCGCAAAAGTTAACATAAATATTTGTTTAAAAATTAAAAGAAATAATGCATCGGCGTAATTTTTTTAATTGTCAGCTCCAATATCTAATTTTAATTATCTCTTTAGCTTATAGCATTGTTCTCATATATCAAAAAACTGCATACAATAAAATATGAACTAAAACACGGATTTAGTACAGTCAAACAAAGTATCTAGCTCTCAAAATTATATTAAAATATCATAGTTAGAAATATGTAAATCAATACATTTAATGACAGAAATATTCAAACCAAATAAGAATTATAACGTTGTGTTCAATATTTCAAATAAAAAATCGAATACTTAAGTAAATTAATGTATCACAAAAGAGTCACAAAGCTAAAATACTGCATATTATCTCAACATCCATAAAATATGTTTTTTTAAATGGTATTGTACTTGTCCATAAGCTAAATTTGTTATAAAAAATTTTAATTAATTAATTCATTAAATGCATCATGAGATCTGGTAATACCTAAGCAATTTCAAATAATGTCTTTAATTTGTTCCAAAACTTGTTCCAAAACTTGTTCCAAACATTTGGTTCATTGCATTTTTGTTCATTTTAAAGTTTTAAATCTCTCCTTAAGCATCCTTGACTATGTTACATTAAAATTATTCAAATAAATTTTTAAGGTTGCTTACTAGGAACTTCAATGCTAAATTTGTATTTCTTCATCTCTGGAATATTAACGAAATATTGCATTTACTTTTAATAATGCAGTTTTATGGTTATGATGGTTAAGTTATTTTATTTCAATATGATAGTCAATCATAGGCTCATTTGTGTGTATGAGGTACGGATTTCCAACATTTATTTCACTTGGAATATGTAATATACCCTCTATACATAACTAAGTGAAGGGTTTAATTATAATGTATTTCAGCAACGATGACAGTTTTCTTAAGCGTCCAAAACTCATATAATACGGAAAACTCAAAATTCGAGGTGTACTTAACGTTTAATTTTTTTTTTTTTTTTTTTTCTGCCCAACTTCTGTAAATGTGCAGACAAGTCTTCACGCTTCACCTTACTCTTTCACTGCTGCTGCTATTGCTTCGATCGTCTGATTTTTGAGTGGCTTCACTCTTGTTTTGAAGCTTCTTCGCAGCTTACATCTTTCATACAAATTGTCCAACTCGAACAAAAACTGGACATGCCAACGCGGGTTTCGTTGGATGATCTGCGCTTTACTTCACAGGTTTGATTTAAAAATTCGTCAGTTGGCAATTGGACGCGACCAATTAAACTACGCCAAGCGCTTTAAATCAAAAGAAAAAGTCAAAAAAATTAGTAAAAATAATTTGTCAAATTTTAAACTAAGTCGGTTGCAAATTAAAATAATTAAATATGTGAGTTTAAAAAACAAAAAAAACCATCTTATTGTTATTTAATAAATTAAAATAAATTTAGTGTGGAAGTATCTTGTATCTTGTATCTTGTATCTTTCTATACATATGTATATGAATGGTGAATATTTTCTCGGATGTGTATGCCGCATTTTGCAATCTGATATATCGGATTAATACTTATCGTTACTCTGCAAATGCAGATATTAATTACAGATAAAACTGATTATACATTTAACGATATTGTTTAAAATTGTTGAGATGTTTTTAAAGTGAAATGATTGTTATAAAACAATTGCAGATATTTTTTATCTATGTAATATCTGATTATGTTAAATGTATCTGATTATTGTGCAATTATTATTGTTTTTTTTTTGTGTTTGGTTTTTTTGAATTTTTATTAATCTTAAACATTTAAAAATTTTAAAGTATCTGCTAAGTGCATCCAATATTAACCATGTGCGATCACATTTTATTTTTAATTAAAAATAATTATTTTCTTTTGAGTTTACAGGAAACCAACAATTTTTGAATTTCTTGTTTTTATCAAATCCTAATCGAAATTTTTTCTAAGGTATTGTTTTACTTACAATACAATAGCTATCATAAACCACCTCATTATATTTTTTTTTTGTACTTTGAATATTGCATTTTTTCATTATATAATTCTCTAGTAATTAAGGTATTCAATCGCCTATTAGTTCTGCGTATGCTTGATACAGTCTAGTAATTCGAAGTAATTCAGTTGGGTCTTCTTTCTAGTATAATTGTGTTTCATGCATATTTTGCAATCGGATATGTTAGATCTTAGAATGATCAACAATTCTTCACTACTATGTGGGTCTTTTTTTTACAAGAATTCTATGGATTGTGTTATACAAATATTAAGTTTTATAATAGACGTCTTTTTGAAAAAAGTATACACTATTTTATAACCTTGATTTACTCTTGCAAGTGCAGCTTACCATATTTTTGAATACAAATATGTATACTTATACCAAAACACTATTAATGATCGAATTTTTTTATCATTATTTTTAAGTAAATAAAATAGTGGAGAAGCTTTAAAAATTTTGGAAAGAAAAATAGTTCGCCAAATCTACGGGTCAAACCAAATTGATGCAAAAACTTTTCAAAACCGAACAAATAATGAGATTGAAGAACTACTAAGAAACGTATATATAGTGAGATACATTAAGTCGCAAAAGCTACAATGGGCTGCTCATATAGTAAGAATGGGACCGAAAAACAGAGCAGCATATACAACTCAAAGTCTATGACAACCAGGCACAGAGGTAGACAAAAATTACTCTGTCGTAATTTAACAGGCACAACAGCTCTATAGTCTAGCAATTACATGGGCTGTACCGATTTCTATTCTGCCTTTGTAAAATCCAAAACTAGAACCAAAAAAGCAAAGCTGAAGATTTTAGAAATCGTTGTTAATTTTCAAAGATAAATTTACTCACAATGCCAAAATCTTAAAAACCAATAAAAAGGGGAGTCTTGAATTTCGTTAGAATTTTGCAGGTGAGACTAATCCCAGGTATTCATCCCCTGCAAAGCATTTTCACTTGATGGTTTCTGATCATTTTGTTTTTAAATTAAATCATTCTATTGTATGAAGTAGAAGTTTAAGAAATTACTAATAATGATAATCAAAACTGATTGATTTTGAATATATTATTAAATTTAAACAAACAATTTTCAGACACAAGGCTTTAATAATATTGAGATGATATAAACGAATATACAAAGTTCAACCGATTCTTTAATTATATTATATCGCATCTGAATTGAAAACTACACTGGATTGAAATATATCTGATTCAATATTTAATAAGTTTGTGAAATATAACGTCCTGTATATCCACAAGATCAGCAGGCAAAATGTAGGTGACTGTTTTGAATCTGCCATTTAAAAACATTATTGAATAAAAATATATAAGATTTCAAATGTCAGGATATTTCATATATTATACCTATAACCATTACTTGTATTTCATTGCTTTAACATTGAAGGAAGTAAATAAACTCATTCCACATTCCCTGAGAGGT